GTGTGTGTGTGTGTGTGTGTGTATGTGTGGTCACCCTATCAGGGGAGAATTGTTCGGGACAGCAGAGGATAGGGTTCAAGGGCATCTATCCTATAATTACAAGGTAGTGGACGTCTAAGGGGAGAATAGCTCGAACATTTTGGACAATTCGCTAGTCGAAATGAATGGACAAAACGTTAATGAAGGACTGCTTTCAATGATGGATGTGTGGATTGTCGAAAGAGCCACAAGTTCGTCCACTATTTGTCTGCTGAGTGAAGCCTCTTCTGGCCTGAGTTCATCCCAACTGTTGTGCATTCGCAACACGACTCACCGACAAGTTGGAGAGAATCAAGGGAGGCGGAGGCGCCGACCTCAAAGTGGCCACCTTTTGTGTTTATCATTTACTTCTGCTCGTCCCTCCTGTCCAACGGACTGGCTCTATGTTTCCCACACCCTATTCACATAGCGCAAGGGCAAAAAACACACATACCGCGCATGGTTTGACAGTGAAGTTACAGCTCGTCTCGAAATTGTGCCTTCAGTTGACGGCAGAGGTATCATACTACTCACAAATTGGCCCTATCTTTCTTACAATCCCTCATTCCGCATCTGCGCCCACAATCCTTAATCATTGCCTCACATGCAAGCTCCTCCATCCACCAGTTTGGACACCTTCAAGCAAGACAAGTTCTGTTTTTCCTTTAAGCCTGATGATGCTACTCAAAACAATTTAAGTAGTTGATTTTATGGCCCAGATAACCTAGATTCGTCATCTCCTGCATGCTTTGACAACGACAACTTTTAGATTTCGGAGTTTTGATTTTCTAGTCGATCGAGTCAGAATTTCTTTGGATCCCGAATTAATTTGCAAAAATACTATCAATTCAAATTATCTAAAAGTATATTTGCTTGTAGACTCTTGTTGTAATCGCTTTTAAGAACCCCTCTTTGATTTCGATTTAATCCTGCTACTTACTGTTAATAAGTAGTATGCGTATATAATTAACGAGCTAGATTATAGGAACTTCAGGCTCTTTTCGGAAAAATATTTTTTTCTTGCTCTTTTTACCGTCGACATTTTTTTCACTCTTCTCAGCCTTGATGAGCGCCGCCATTTTCGGTAATGTGACTTCAATCATGCTGCGGCTGTCGCAGAAGTCAGAGGAGTTTCACGAGCGGCTGACGAATATCAAAGAGTTCATCAACTTCTACCGCATGCCAAAGACAATGGGCCATCGCTTGCAGGAGTCCTTCCAGTCGGCTTACGACTTCTCGAGTGGCATGGACATGAACAGCGTGAGTCACCCACCCGATGCTATTTTTCCTCGTGGAAGGCAAGATCCTCGTCGTGGTCTTCTGTCGCCCGGCCAAAGGAACGCGTTCGGCAGCGTCTAAATCCGGGTCCTTTGACGGGGTTCATGTTGGTTATTGCGTCCACAGGACGTCATGACACCTTTTGAAACGCTTCCGTCATGTCCACAGGGCCCATAGTTCGAACCATCAGATGACGCTGGCCGAGCTCCCGGCCGGTAGCATATCGCCAAACAGTTCTCAAGAGCAGAAAGATCCAGTTGGCATGGAGTAAATTAAGGGAACTTTTTTTTTGTTTAAAAGTGAGCTTTCGAGACTGCCAGTAAATCAGATCTGTGGGCTGTGCTCATCCTATTTCATTTACGGTAATTGAGGACTGTTCGTTAAATTTTCCCACATATTGATATGGGTCCATTGAATGTGACGTGGCTTAACTTTCCCAAATGTTATTCTCATCCAAAGTGGATTACAGTTTCAACCTCGTCTGGGTCTCTGCAACAACCCTGGCGGGACTCGAGACATTAAATGACTACGCCAAATCGCCATGAGTGCGGGGCTAGGCGTTTTCCTGTATCACATTCTGTGGTGGGTTAGTCAATGAAACAGAGTTATATTTGCTATAACTACAAAGAATGTCATATTGGAAAATGTCTTGCCGTCCTTGAAATGCCCGTCTGTTCTGTAGCGCAAGGGCACTAGTGGCAATGTGGTATAGCGATTAATGTGTCGAGATTACACGCTGTAGTGTCTTGCTTCGAGTCCGATCGGGGATGTTGGTAGGACCTATGTGGGATCGAAACTGTAGTCCATTCCAGCCTGATGTGAGAACACCTTTTGAGAAAGCAACGTTGCATACAATCCAATGGAAAATCCAATGGTAAAATTCAATTAACAATCCTTCAGCACTTAAAACGTGATAGGGTGAACGCATCTCATATGAGGGAATCGCTTATTGGGCTCTAATTTCTGCTGATGGTTGCAACCGATTGCTCACTGGTTCATTGTAATATGTCATTCTTGTCTCGTAGTAGAGGTCGCCTTGAAGTCTTCCCCACCGGTGTGAAATTAGCATTTTTGTGTGTGTTAATAATGACTGTGTCAGTAGTAATAGCAGTAGTAGTAGAAGTAGAAGTAAATGAGAAAAAAGAAGAAATATAGTTAAGAGTCATTGTAGTTTTACTATAAGCAATAGCTGATTTAGTCTTGGTAGTACTAAAAATAGTAACTGAAGTAGTTCTAGTAGTAATAGAAATAATAATTTTTAAGGAAGTAGTAATACCAGCTGCAGCCGTAGAAGTGGCAATAGTAATTCGTTTAGTGTTATAATTGAGAATGGTAGTAGTAGTTGTGGTGAGTCACAGCGGTAGGGGTAGCGGTTATTATAGTCGGTAGCAGCAGTAGTAATTGCTATATTGGTGGTAGTAGAAGTAGTAGTAGTATGAAGGAATAAGAATTTTTAGTGGAAGTGGTTAGGGTAATGGCAATAGAAATAATGACAGTAAAAAAGTAGGCGTGGTATAAGTAAAAGTAGTTATATTAGTAGCCGCAGCAGTAGCAAACGTAGTAGTAGTCGTACCACTAATGGCAAACGTAGTGATAGTAGTATTGCTACTAGTCGTAGTAATATAAGAAATAGCCATTAGTATTAGTGGTGGTGGTTTTAGTTGCAGCAACATAACTGGTAGAAGTAGTAGTATCCGGTAGTAGTGGTAGTAGTGGTGAGGGGTTTGTAGCAGTATTATTCGTTTTCGTAGTATTAGTAGCGGGGTAATTATTGTCATTGGTAGCAGTAGTGTTGGTAAAAGTTGTAGTCCATTTTAGTGTTAATAGTAACAAGTAAAACAGTTGCAGAAATGTCAATAGTAGTTTATTTTATCGTATAATTATTCGCTGTATTATAGTACTATTTGTTGTTTTTGTCATAACTGTCGTTAGTAGTAGCAGTAGTCGTTTTTGTACTGTTAGTATCAATAGTAGAAGGGGTACTAGAAGTACTAACATCAGGAGTAACGGTAACAGTGCCAGTAGTAGTAGTAGTAGTAGTGATAGCAATCGAAGCGGTTCCATAAATAGCAACGAAAGTAGTCATATTATCATAAAAAGAAGTATTAGCAATATTAGTAGTGGTTTTTGTTGTTGTATGTGGTTGCATTCTAAATAGCTTATCAAAGTGAGAATAATGAAGGCAACAATTTGCGTATGTGTTGTTTAACGATATTAAAAGGATTGCCTCAGTAAGCAGGTCAATCCAGTGCCCATTTGGCCTGTAGCAAATTGGGTTAGGGCCAATTGGGGAAAATTGTTTTCCTTCATATCTAAGCAGCGGTCTGTCAGGCGTTAATGTCTGCTGTTTATGACAGCCCCTGGCAAGTCGGTAGGTAACATTTTTATGCTCGCCAGAATTGGTTTCGAGATTCGGGGGAATTTTAAAAGCCATTGAACCGCGTTTGCTGCTGCCGGCACTACTACTAATACAAAGAGTAGTAGCAGCAACCACAGCTACATCTGAACATCTTAAATGGGCTCAACTCTTCTGTCTGGCAGATGAGACCAGTTCTGGTTGGTTTTTATCCGGCGAATCTGCTCTTCCGCCCCCGACGCAAGCGCGCCAGTGGAAGATCTAATTTTGCCAAGTTTTGTCCGGCTGGTAGACTG